AAGAGATATCAACTTTCCATTTATCCATCTTCTGGCTATAATAGAGTCCAGTCCACAAACAATAATATGAAATTGTCGATAGAAAGTGTCATTAAAATCTTGGGTCTTGTTGAAATGTGGAACTACATTACAATTAGGAATTCTGTCATTTAGAAATTCTGCTGCAACTTCAGCCTTAGGTCTTCCAACATCTTTAGGCCTAAATAAAAACAGCCTATTTAGATTGGAAACATCTATAGTGTCCATGTCTATGACATGAATCTGTCTAAAACGAGACAATGCCAGATTTTTCAGGAGCTCCCATCCTAAGCCACCAGCTCCAATGACTAGAACTTTACATGTATCTAACAAAAACTGGAGAGATTCAGTGCTTGGTTCGAAATCAGAGTGTGTGAAGGGTCCAGATCGCTCGAGGAACTTCTTTACATGGTTCCAGCGACCTTCCCAGTTTCCAGTGTCCCTGCACCCACCATCAACAGCCATTGGTTCCTCGCCATCTGCCATATTGTTCTCCCCCCAATTTTTTTTAAAGTTAAAAAATATGTTATAAATAAGCTAAAGTTAATGATGCATGAAGAATATACCCTTGCTATATGCCTCACTTGTCTTGTGGATGAATATTACCTAAGCAACTGTACTTACGCTAGTATAGCTTGACTGCAATGTGATCATAGTTACCCAGTTATGCTTTTGCTGTATACAATACCCATGAGAAAGACCTTCAGAAACAACTTACGTTTTGGATATCTGCTGTGTTTCAGGAGGCTTCTCTCAACACAGCTTACCCTCTTTTGTCCTTAAATACATTCTTCAATACTGGAAGACTGGAGCTCAGCACACATGAAATCTAACAAGGTAGAAGTTACTTTGCCCTCACAATTTGCAGGAAGATGAGTGACATTTAGTGAAATAAATGAGACACACAAGCTTAAATATTGCATGTTTTCTCTTAAGTGAGAAACCCCAAATACAAAGGAAGAGAAAATAAAAGATGGATAACAAGAAGTAAAGAGACAGACCATTCTGAAAATAGAAGAGTGTAGAGATGGAAAGTGTTTTAGTTTGTGGCTGCATGTTCCCCCAAAGCCTCATGTAGTCATAGGTAGGACTTTTACATAGGTGACTGGATTGAGTGTGTGATGCCGTAACTGATTCATGGTGCAATGCTAGGATCGAGGGCACTAGGAGTAAGGGTGTGAGTGCCACTCGTCCTCAGTGCAGTGGCCTGGAGAAGCCACAAGGGATACAAAAAACTAGTCATCTTTCACTTGCTTGTTTTGCTACTTCTGACCAACACAAACTGTTTCTCCTCTGTAGTGCCTGTCCACCATACCTTCCTGCCTTGAAACCACCTGACTATGGTCTGAAACCTGAACACACAGTGAGCTCAATAAAAATTTCACCCTTAACTTTGGGTGTTGGGTATTTGGTCTCAGCAGAGAGATAAATAACTAACACAAAGGAAGAGGGAGGAGGGGAGGAAAGAAGATGAAAAGGAATTAAGAAGCACTACATATGTGTATCAACCCCCCACAAGTCTGTTAGCATCATGGACTGCAAGCATGTATAAAAATGAGGTCTAGAGATGGATAGTGTGGAGAAGGAGGGAAAGGATGGGGGATGAAAGAAGAAATTGAGTTGTATTTTGTGCAAAGTGCCAACTCCCCACAAGAATTAAACCTTTTATAGTACAAAAACGTTCATGTCACACTGCAAAACTAGGATGCTGGCCAAAGACTGTACAAGGCAGAAATAAGAAGTAGAATCTTCTCTTTTGCAGTGGTAGAAGTGTTAAAGACTTCTGATATATTTGTACGTGGAATGGTTTGCAAGAATGAGAGCAAACAAACCAATGTATACAATGTTAATGAATGTCATACACATGGTAGTGAATGAAAGAAGCCTAGGAGAAAGAAGATTATACGTCATTGCACTTAGGTAAAATTCAGAAACCAGTAAGATGAATTCTGGCTGATGCACACCAACTACCTTCGGTACGTGTGTAGTGGGATTGGGTTTGATGGGGTGCATGGGTCATCAGAGGTGCACTATGTCCTGATTTAGGGATTGATTGTACATTTTGTAAACATTCTTCAAGCTGAATGCTTCAATTTATGTGTGCATTTACACAAGCATTTATATACAGAGATGTATCAATTATAGATAAGTATACACTTGACATAAATTAGAGGGCATTTGCAGAGCTACATATATTGTGATATTATTCACACTTGTCTATAAATTTAGGCAAAATAAACATCCATCACTGGTTGAATAGGTAAGCAAAATGAAGTTCTGTGGCTCCAGGATTAGAGCTCATGCCTAATGTGGAGAGGGCTGTGGGTTCTATCCTCACACAGGAAAAAAAGATAAAAATTTGATATATATCTGTAAAGAATATTCAATTTTTTACTCTTTTTTTGTGGCACTAGGGATCAAAATCAGGGCTTCGGCCTTTTAATAGAAGAAAATCTTATCGTGTCTTACAGTTTGGATGAAACCAATGAGCTAAGTGGAGTATGCCAGTCTCAAAAGCAAAACGTTGCCTGATTCCATCCATAGACAGTAGATAAAGACTTAGAGAGATCATTATTATTGCCAAGGGCTTGGCACTGGGAACGGAGTGGTTGAAGGAGTATAGCATTTCAGTTTTGCAAGAGATCTATGTGTTGCACAACAAGGTATATTTAGTTAACCCTTCTGCATTGCCTACTTAAAATTATGGTGGCAGATTTTGTATTGTGTGCTTTTAAATTAACAAATATTGAAACTGGGAGGAATGTTTATCTCTCTTCCTATCAAACCTTTCCCAGACTGAAAATGTAGTTTCTATAAAACTTCATCTGCTAGACTCAGCCCTACTGCATCTTCTGGGCTTCTAGCTAGACCAGGGTTCATCCAATAGCTCCAAAGACCCCTGAAGATGGTTCAAATATTTCTTGGTCCTAGGACCAAGAGAGGGGAATCCTACCATCCCAGGTAGACCTTTGCCTTATGAAGCCTCCAATTTCCTTTCAGAAAATAGTACCAATGCCTGGTCTGGGGGTGATTTTTTGCCCACATGCTTTGTTCCATGATAGGAAGTAATGATCAGAACTACTTTGGGAAATAGGCTTTACAAACATGTGCAATATACTCACCAAGCAGACAACTAAAGAGTTGGGTGTGAGATCTGCTTTGCTCACCTTAAGCAGATTCTGTTGGTGGGATTTGTGGCTTCTATTTTACATTTAGAAGTTCAGCATAGGTGACCTCTGTACCCTTTTCAGATTCTCAGGAGCTAAAATACCTTAGGAGCCCACTCCCTTCTGATCTGTAAGAAGGTCTTTTGATGAGCACCCTGGGCTTTCCTGGGTGTTGCATTCCTTGGGGAGTAGGTACCTTGAGCTCCTTTTGCCCAGCTGACTTCTGAGATGCCAGGTCAGGCCACTGAGTCTGGCATCATGAGGACGTGTGGGTGGAGCTGGATCCCTTATAGTCAGTCAGGTTCTTTTCACCACATTTCCAGATTAGTTTCTCTGGGAGCAGCTCTCCGTAGGCTCACACCATGGCTGTCCTGTTACTCATGCCACTACTGGGCCTACTTATCTTTCTCCTAGGACTCATTGTCTGGAGCATCTTTAAGCATTTCCTCACCACAGATATCCCCTCTGCCTTGCAACATCCCATCAAGTTGAGAATTCTGGACTGCATCTTTATATATGTGATCACTTTGGTGAGTGTTCTCTCAGGTCCCTCCACGAGTTGGGGGTGTCGTCTGTATCTCTCCTTCCTTCCCTTTCATTTTGTTTCTCCTCTCTCCACCTTCTCCCAAGACCAGTATGGTAGGATTTGATACACTCTTTTGTATCCATTATTTTTCTTTCTGCATCTCTCCGTTTTTTATTTTGTTGCTTCTCTCCCTACTTTCCTTTCTCCTTCCTTCTTTTCTTCCTTTTGTTCTCATTTCCATGTTTGTTTATCTCCTTTCTCCCCTCCTTTCTCCCATCATAGTGCTTGTTCCTTCTCTCCTTCCTCTTTTCCCTTTTTCTATAATTTTTCTCATTGTTTTTTGACCTATCTTCATTGTTTGCTTTATCTCTTCTCATTTCTTTTTCCCTGTT